TAAACATCATTTAATCTTTTTTGTTATTTTATCTCTACACTTATTTTCTTTGAAAAATTTATCACCTGATGTATAAATTCAATTCAGTGGAACAATATTGATTTTTATTATGTAAAGTTGATTTGTTAATTCTATTTAATATTAATTTAGTTATAACAATCAAAAAACCTTGTGTAAATGAAGCAAAATTTAAAAAAAAATATATCGATTATGTTATGAATGATCAAACTAGAAATCTTAATTTAAAAACTAAGAATATAAATTTCTTTTGTAAATAGTAAATTAAATTCAAATATTTATAACATGCAACATCGAAAATTGTATTATCTTAAGCCTCTATTCTGATCGAATATTTAGGGATTATCAAGATGGAAAAATTTGTCATATTTACTAACATTAACTATTAGTTCAAATAAAAATTATATAAAATGTATTTTAAAACTATATTATTCATAAAATTTATTAGATAAATGACCCTTTTGAACATTTCTTAAATGGAAATGAAATCTTTGATTAACGAACCCTGATTATTGATCACGATGATATAAATATCTAAGAATAATAGAATCAATCTACCATTAAAATGATATTAGGATAATTAAGAAATAATAGCTTTCAAAGGGAATTTAATAAGAAAGAATAAATTTTTGAGAAAATAAAGAACATATGATAAAAGTTCCATTTTTATTAATTAATCACTTGAACTTTATGTTAATCTTCAAAGAACTATAATTAAAAAGCGTATCCATCTTATGGGATGTAGTCAAAATAGACTAGATTAAATAAACTCTCTTGGAAAAGCTCATGAATATGGGTACTCCTAAGCTAAGGAAACTTGAGAGTTAGATTGGTGATAACTTTTAGTTAAGACTTTACATAAATAAACCTAATAGTTTCGTACATGATAAGATGTTTTAAATTTGTATAATGAATATCAAGTAATTAGTTTTGTAATCTAAAAAAGTATAATTTAATACAGAAAATAAATTTCTAAAATAAAATTTTATA